ACAGAGTTAGTTGGTAGTGAGACTCGGGCTGCTTCGGGGCTGCCCCATCCAGGTCGGGGACGGAGGCATTTGAGCTGGTTCCTCCTGCTGAGGCTTCTGGGTCCTGCCAGCAGACCCCCTTCTTGTCTGCCTTTCCCTTGGACTCTGCCTTTTCTTCAGGGGTAGAGGGTTTGGAGGACGGCTCTGCCCCGGGTCCCGACGTGGGGATCCTGGGGCTGGGGAGGAGTCAACCTGGGGGCCTTGGGCCCCGTGACCCCGCTTGGTTGCTTTTGCCTTCCCCGCGGGGCTTATTGTTGCAGGGGGAGGGGTTTTCTTACCCCCCCTTCCCTGTATGAGTGTGATTTGGGTTCGGCTCCTCCCCGGGTTCAGTTTCGGGCACCTTTGGGTACCTCGGATCCGTCTTTCCAGGGGTTTCTACTTCCCGTATCTCCGCGAAGGTGGCTCGGGAAGCTCTTGCTGCATACCTCTTGCGAGACCCGGGTTATGCCTCCCCAATGGATCTGTCCTCGTTTGAGTTCGGTTCTTCTTCCCGTTTTTGGGTGCGTTTGGAGGTTCCAGAGTCTTCCTGGCTGGCAGACTGCCTGTTCTTTTCATTGGGGGCGTGGCATGGGTTCTGTCGGACCCGCACGCTTGATTGGCGGGAAACGGCTACTTTTATGCAGGTTTACCTGGGGGGGGGGGAGCGAGTTTGAGCACCTTAATGTGGGCTTATTCGCTCTCGTGCTTTCTCGGGATGTTGGCCTTTTCCAGTTTCACGTGCAGGTTCCTCAGCTTTTGGCTTCTTTGGTTGCGGAGGAGTTGCTCTCCCGTGGGCATTTGGCTTCGGTCTTGCGTTTCTTTTCCCTTCTCAAGCTGTCTTCTGCTTGGCTTGAGGAGGATGTGGGAGCGTTGAGTGAAGGGTCTTCGGCAGCTAGGGCGTCAGCTGCACTATTGAAGCTCTTTGCGCCCATCCTGAAGGAAGCGGTGTCTGTTTTTTGCTTTTTGCCTCGCATGCCATCAGGCTTTGCTCGCCCTCTTTTGAATCCGCTTGGGCCCATGCTCTTATGTTTTCATATCTGTTTTGTCCGTTGCTGTTTGCAGAGACTGCGGTCTCTCGGTTTCTGCACGCGGCTTCGTCTAGTTGTCGTCCTATGGCGGACTTGTTGATTCTCCGGACCGGTCGTTTTCGGCAATTTCGGGGGGGTCGTGCCAGGGTTCCAGGTTCCGTTGGTCGAGGTGGGCCATTGGTGCCAGTTTGAGCCATTGTTCCCTTCGGGGCCAGTGTCGTCTGATCGGCGCAGTGATCGCCCTGTTCGACGGTTGGGTTCTTGTAAGGGGCGTCGGCCCTTTCGCGGTTTGCCCCGTTGATGGGGCGATGGGGGGGAGGCTTGCTCTGTTTGTCCACGCTTGGTTCCACGATTTGAGGGCCTTTTTGGTCGTGTCATCCGGCCTGCGGTGGCATTGGGCGACTCGTCCTCCTTTGGGGGGTTCGGGGCTAACAGGGCAGGTTTCTTCTCCTGCGCTTCGTCAAGTCGTCTTGGAGTGGGTGCGCTTGGGCATGGTCGAAACGACTATGTCCCTCAGGTGGGGTTTCCCGTCTGTTTCCAGTGCCAAAACGGGACTGTGCGGATCTGAGGTTCATTCTAGACTTGTCCCGTCTGAACCCCTGGATTCCTTGCCCCTCCTTTCGGATGACTACTCTGTCTCAGGTCCGGCTTCTGTTGGAGCCGGGTGCCTGGATTTTGTCCCTGGACCTCAAGGATGGGTATTGGCACGTTCCTATTCATCCGGGGTTCAGGGACTGGTTAGGTTTCTGGTGGGGTGTCACGCTTACCATTTTCTATGCCTACCTTTTGGCTTGAATCTGGCACCTCGTGTTTTCACGTGTCTGACCCGGGTTGTGGTGACCCGTCTGCATCTTCTAGGGATTCGGGTTTTTGGCCTACCGCGACGACTGGCTGGTGTGGGCTCCCAGTCGGTCAGCTTGTCTGCTTGCCAGGGATATGGTTCTTTCCCAGCTCGCCAGGTTCGGGTTCCTGGTGAACTGGAGGAAGTCCCATCTGGTTCCGTCCCAGGTTCGGACCTGGCTGGGTCTTGTTTGGGATTCTCAGACCGCTTCCTTGTCTCTCCCTCCAGAGGCGTTGTGGTGGCTGCGGGACCGCCGTCAGCTGTTTCTGAGGGGGTCCCGGGTCACTCGGCGGTTGCTCGAGCGGTTGTTCGGGAGTCTGAGCTTCGCCGTGTTAGTCTACCCGCCGGGTCGGGTTTGGCTTCAACGTCTGTTTTGGTTCCTTCGGGGACGTCTTTTCTGCCTCTCGCGATCGTTGGGTTCATCCTCCAGGGGTCTTATGTCGGTTGCTGCGTCACCGGCTTCCTCTTCGGGGTTTTCGGGGCTCGGTGCCTTGGCGCCTTCCCGAGCCCTCGCTCGATGTGTTCATGGACGCGTCGTCTCATGGCTGGGGCTTTGTGACCAGTGCTCTCCAGGCAGGCCAGGGACGGTGGGGTCCGTCCTTCCGCTTCGGAGGGTTCGGGTCACTCGGGGTTCGACCATCCCCTCCATTCGGACTGTTCTCCAGTGCTTCATTGCCTGAACTGTGGGGGTTGTCTTCGGTCCTTGGCTCTTTGGGGCTGGTCGCTTCAAGTGGTTCGTCTGCTGGTTTCTCGGGGTTTGGCTTCCGTGCAGTTCATATCCGGGGAGTGTCCAACGTCCTGGCGGATGGCCTGTCTTGATTCGTTCCCCTGTCCACGGAATGGACAGTCAACGCGACTCTTTCAGTTGTTGTCTCTGCTGGATGTACGGTCTCCTGGATGTGGACCTCTTCACGTCGGCGTGGTCTCGGCGTCTCCTGATATATGTGGTGCCCTTACCCGACTGCAGAGCCTTCGCGGTGGATGCCTTTCAGCAGGACTGGTCGAGGTGGGGTTACCTGTACCTCTTTCCCCCGGTCCAGCTGTTGCTTCGAGTTCTGGCTCAGTTGGAGTCTTACCACAGGAAAGTAGTTCTTGTGGCCCCTTAGTTACCGGCCCAGCCTTGGTTTCAGGCGCTGCTTGTTCGGTGTCCGAACCCGGGACGTTTCCCGCAGCTCCGCCTCTTTCAGCAGATCGGACCGGTCCGGTACGGGGCTGGTTCGGTCTTCTCCTCTGCTCTTCGCATCTGGTCTTTTTTTTGACTTAGGTTTATCACCATTTGTGTGGTGATCAGATAGCTTCTTTGATGGTGTCCCACCTGAGAGCTTTGTCTCGGCAGCAGTATGAAGTTTCCTGGCATTCTTTCTGCCATTTTCTCTCTCTTCATAAGTTATCTTCTATTTCTGATCGGGTTGTCTTGTCCTTTCTGTCTTGGCGGTTTCAGGACTGTCATTTGATGCCTAATACTGTCACCTCGTATCGTGCGACTCTGACAGAGCTGCTCCAGCTTGCATTCGAGGTGGATATCACTTCTGCTCCCGTTCCGTAAGCTTTTTCGTGCTTTGTTTCACCTCCGGCCTGCTCATGAGCCATCCTGGTCTTTGGACAAAGTGCTCTCCTATCTTTCCTCTCCTCGGTTTGTGGTGGCCCCTTCGGTTCAAGATTGTTTTTCCAAGGCTCTGTTTCTATTGGCATTGGCCTCTGGTTGTCAGGTTGGTGAGCTTCATGCTCTCCTCCGGCGCAGGGGTTTCTGCTCTTTCGGTCCTGGTGATCAGTTTGTTAAGTTGCAGCCTTCTCCTTTCTTTCTGGCGAAGAACGAGACGGCGGCTTTCCGGAGGGCCCTTGGGTTATTGATGCTTGGATAGTCAGGCCAGGGATGCATCATGTGTTGCGTCCAGTTGTGGCTCTTCACCGTTATCTGCGCGTCTCGGCCTCTGTTGCCAGGAATGCGCTTTGAGGTGATCCTGTTTCCCTCGTTCCCTGTTCCAGGGTTCTGGTCTCCCTGGTCGTCCGCAGGATTATTAAGTCTAGCCAGCCTGCGGTCTATCCTCGTGCCCATGACGTTCGTAAATTTGCTGCTTTGGCTGCAGTGTTTGGCAACATGTCTTGGGCTGATATTCGGGCGCAGGGATTTTGGAGGTCGAACAGGGTCCTGGCCGCCCATTATTTGGTGAATGTTCCTGCTCCTGGGCGTTCATGTGTTGCTTTGGGTCGCAGGTTGCAGCCAGTTGTCTCGACTTCGCGTTGAGGAGTGTGTGGCAGCCGCTTCCCAGGTAAGTCCCTCTTTTCCTTATCTTTGGGTATGTAGCTCCAGGGAGCTGAAGGGGCTCCCCACAGAAAACCAGTGTTGAATGTAATGAAATGCCATTTTCTGAGTGAGCCCCCGGAGGCTCCCTGGCAATCCCTCCCTCCCTCCGGTCGGCGGGATTTTTCGCATTGTTTTGATGCCTAGTTTCCGAACTGAAGACAGCCGGCGTGGTGGGTCCTGAGCCCCCCCCTCCCCCTCCCGGGGAGGGGAGGGCTGCGCGGACAACCGGCTCGGCAGTAAATTGATTGTTTGCTTGTTTCCTTGGGATTAAAGGTAGTTCTACCTCTCTGTTCAGTTTTTTGTTGCAAGTTTCTTACCATGTGGGGTTTGTTTTGTTATGCCTACCTTTCTGGGTGCCTAACCCCGGTGGATGGCAGATAAGGAAAACCACCAACCACTGGGGGTTTCCAGGGCCATTGCTCCCTGAAACCTCTCTGAAGAGGCCAGGTTCTGGCGTGGTCCCTGGTAGGTCTGAACTCCATAGACTAATGTCCCGGTCTAACATAACATACATTAGCCCGATAAGCTCCAGGGAGCCTCCGGGGCTCACGCAGAAAATGGCGTTTCATTACATTCAACGCTGGTTTTTTTCTGCATGGGCATGTATGGGTCTAAAACAAATACTGCACATTGCAGGTTAAAGGCCACTTTGACCACCACCACCATTGTCTGTGCCTCTACTAGGACTGACCTCAGTATTGGCCCTAACTACAAGGCATAAGACAATGCTCTGCCTTCATTTCCCTTCATACAAGACAATTAGAGTCGGTGGGATGAGATAACGATCAGCCAAATTGCAGTTATAAAGATGAAGCCTCACAAGTGTCCAGTGTGTGGGAAAGGTTTTGATAAACTTACAAATATGAAATCTCACAGGCTGGTTCATATACGTGTTAAACCTTTTGAGTGTGAATGGTGTGGGAAAAGATTCACTAGACTTAACAGTATGAAATATCACCAGACGTTGCATACTGGTGATAAAAATTACGAGTGTCTAGTGTGTGGAAAAACATTCAGTCGTTTTGAATATGTAAAAATTCACAGGAGGGTGCATATGGATGAAAAACCTCATGAGTGTCCAGAGTGTGGGAAAAGGTTCAAGTATCTTCCAAGTATGAGGCAGCACAGGGAACTTCATATGGCTGATGGACGTTTTGAGTGTACCGAGTGTGGGAGGACGTTTGTGAGACGCAGCGGTCTTATTGGTCACATTTCGATGCATTCGGGGGAAAAACCATTCGAGTGTACCGAGTGTGGGAGAACATTCCGCAGTCCTAAGCACATGAAAAGGCACAAGATGGTGCATACGGGTGATAAACCTTATGAATGTCCTGTATGTGGAAAAAAATTCAGCCGTCTTGAACATATAAAAAGGCATAGTGTGGTGCATACCAAGGATAAACCTCATGAATGTCCAGACTGTGGGAGAAAATTTGCTTCTCTTGAATATGTGAAGCAACACCGGCTTGTGCACACGCGTGGTAAACCTCACGAGTGTCCAGAATGTGGGAAAAGATATGGTTATCTTGCAAGTCTGAAAAAACACAGGATGATGCACTCAGCAGCGAAAGAGGACAAAATAATTGAGAAAATTGTAGTTTTAGAAGGCCTCGCAACAAAGGAAAATCTTGGTGATTTTAGGACAATAGGTAAATATGGAAAAGATAAGAATCGCCACAAAAAAAATAAGAATTGCCATGAAAATGATAAGAAGCGATATGAAAACAATAGGACTCGCCCTAAAAAATATAAGGATCGCCAGTTGCAAGTGACAGTTAATGGCGTGTTTGAAATGACAGAACTGCTTAGAAACTTCAGGACATTTAAAAATGACGAGGCCGGGAAACAGTGGTCTTTAAGCCGAGACCTTTCAGAGGAAGACCGAGAGACACTAAAAGTTAACCTTGATGAAGCAAAGCGTCTAAATGAGGGTAGGAATGAAGAAGAAAGAAATTCTTTTTTCTACAAGGTCATAGGGATCGGGAAGCCTGTTAAATGGTACACAAAAACCAACCAACAAAATCCATAGGGAGAATTGGGAGCGAAGGACAAAGGACCTATCTTGCGGTGGTTCTGGGTCCACGTGGCCTGGTCAACCAGAACGAGAGTAGAGAGGCTGTGCGACTGAGAGAAGGGAGTTCTCCAGTTAGGTTATCTTGAGATGATTTTGGGGCTTAGCATCCCCGTGGCCCGGTCCTCGACCAGGCCTCCTTTTTGTTACACAAGGGAAAGAAACTCTGCCTATTTGATTTGCGTCCGCCGGGGATCGAACCCGGAACTTTAAGACTACGAATCTCGAGTACTGTCCACTCGGCCGTCAGGCCCTGTGCTGCTGTCAGTGCTGTCCTTTTGGTATGTATTTACCAGGAGTGACATTCAGCACCTTCCTCCCATTATCAAGAGTGGCCATGTCCTTTTAAAACTTAAATGTACTGTACTACTGTATGCATTATAATCTGGAAGAGAATGGGGATATTTAATGGTTGAAACTTAGTAAGTTCTTAAATGCATTTGACTGGAAAGATTTCTTGTTGTACAAGAAAGCAGATTAAATGTATGGCAAGTTATGTGAGATATATGAAGATAATTAAATGTATACAAGTATAGAGCTGCAGAACTAGAACAATCGAGAAGAAAATACAGGAAAATCGTGAGGGAGCCAGAGAAGAAAAGACAAAAAAAATGGAATACAGCAAGATGACAATCACTCAACTTTACCAATAACTCAAGCAGGCAGACAAGCAAGCATGCAAGAAGGCATGCAGGCAAGCAACAACAACTGTATGAGAGAGAAGAGAAGCAGAAAGAAGCTTTGAAGAAGGGGTAGAGAATGAATGTTAAAAACCGAGCCAGATGCCTTTTCTACAAATTAATTAAAAGCAAATTGCATATACAGGATAAGATTCAGATGTTGAAAAGGGGGGAACATATGTACAGAGAATAAGAAAGAAATGTTCCAAAGTGTGTTTGTGCAAAATTAAGTTTTCAAGGAACCAGACACAAAATCAATTTCAGAAAACGACGTAAAAGAGTACATAAAAGTTTTTCGAGGCAAAGTAGAGAAACTGCTCAAGGGGCCAGAAGGAATCGAGAGTTGGGCCAGGTGGAGTCTTAACCCCCCCCCCCTTGGTTTGGAGGGAACCCCCCCCCTTGGTTTGGAGGGAAACCCCCCCTTGGTTTGGAGGGACCCCCCCCCTTAATTTGGAGGCCCCCCCTTGGTTTGTAGGGATCCCCCCCCCCCCCCCCCCCCCCTTGGTTTGAAGGGAACCCCCCTCCTTGGTTTGGAGGGACCCCCCCCTTGGTTTGGAGGGACCCCCCTTGGTTTGGAGGGACACTTCCCCCTTGGTTTGGAGGGACACTTCCCCCTTGGTTTGGAGGGACACTTCCCCCTTGGTTTGGAGGGACCCCCCCCCCTCCTTGGTTCGGAGGGAATGCACACATTCTGCTTCAATTGATTTTTCACATATCTTTATGTACAGGAATCCTAGCTGATACATACAGTATATGGAAAAAATGGCAAACGAATAGTGTTATTAGGTGAGAACTCTTCGATGAAGGCCCTGTGGTGCAGTGGTAAGACACTCGCCTGGCGTTCCGCGAGCGCTTTGTCATGGGTTCGTATCCTGGCCGGGGAGGATTTACTGGGCACAAATCCTTAACTGTAGCCTCTGTTTAACTCAACAGTAAAATGTGTACTTGGTTGTAAAAACGATTCTTCGCGGCGGGGATCGTATTCCAGGGACCTGCCCAAAACGCTACGTCTACTAGTGGCTGTACAAGAATGTAACAACTCTTGTATATATCTCAAAAAAAAAAAAAATGAATTTGAAGAAAGCAGAAGAGTGGAAACAGGAACTAGCAGATACATTGTTTACCTCAATGAAATGTGTCAAAGGAGCAAGTAACAAAATCAGCAGACTAACAGACATCATCACAGCTCGAGCACAACTTGGCTGCATGTATCTCTGGCAATTTGACTTGTTCAGGGATCTAGAAAAAGCAAAGTGTGTGGACAAAAATATGGACACACACATTAGACCATTACATCTTAGACTGAAAAAAATTACTCATTTAAAGATTAATGTAAACTCACTCTGTGTGGAATGGTAAACAATCTGGACCCAGATTTACAAAGCCGTTACGCAAGTACAGTACTTACGAACGTGTACATCTTTCCTCAATCTTTGACGGCTTTGGTTACATTTATTAAACAGTTTACAAGCATGAAAATTTCCCAATCAACTGTTGTTATTATTATAAAAAGCCTCCTAGTGCTTCGGAGCTCATTAACTGTTTAATAATTGTAAACAAACTCGCCGAAGATTGAAAAAAGATGGACAGGCTCGTAAGTGCTTGCGTAATTGCTTCGTAAATGTGGCCCCTTATTACAAATGATAAAATATCTGAAATTCCTGCACTGTATCCATGTTTTGCTTCCAGTAGATATTACACGAGATTAAGGAACAAGCAGTGTAAAGACTAATAATAAACACCTTTTCTATGACCCTGTAATACCTTCATAGCTGAAACAGTTATGTACTGTATTAGCGAAAAGACCTACCATTAATGTATAATGATTCATTGTAAATATACAGCTATTGTACTGAAATAAAGCGTACTAACCAGCTGACATTATAATTATAAGGAGTGCAGGATAGATGTAATTGTTAATGTAATAATCTCCATTGAGGTCTGATAAAGGTCTTTGGTGCCCTCTGTGATCCTTTTTGCGCCACCACTCACTTGACGATTATGTGGTGCACAATAAACCAGCCGCTTCTGGCAGCAAAAATCAAATCCGGTTCAGTCTGCACAAATGGTAGCAGAGCAAACCCCCTAAATTATAAACCTGAATTGCAGACAAGTGTAGTTTTCAAATCACTAGAAAAAAATTACTAAACCAAGTGGGTAGAATACCATGAGAAAAATGTCAAAATAAGACTGACCTTATGGCTTTCGGACAAGGAAATCCTGTGTAACAAATATTTCTATTTATAGTTGAGCCACAGAGGTCTTAAATGAAGGCGATGGTTAGGTTGACTACATTTATCTGGAGCCTAAAAATAGTGTTTTGACAGTCCCACAGAAGAGGTACTGGAAGCTGGAACTTGCAATAGGAGGAGGGGTGACCTACCTTTCTGTTACCTTGCATTGATTTTGGGATCAATGTCCCCATGGCTGGGTCCGGTCTCTGACCAGGCCTCCTGGGTGATGGTGAGGTCAACCGGGCTGTTGTGGCAGGAAGACTTGACATGGATGAACAATTTTAAAAGAGAAATAAGGGCAGTAATAAGAGGCAGTGTATCATATTGGAGAAATGTTACTATTGGTGCCATACGTGCAGTTCCAGCACCAGTAATGTTCAATGTCCTTTAATGATTTTCCAGAAGAAATACAGAATTATATGTACATGTTTACTGATGCTAAGGTACTAGGGAAGATAAGGAACTTGGACAACTGTCATCTTCAAGATGACCTGGACAAAAGTGTATGGAGCAATACTTAGCAAATGAGAGTTCAGTGTGGAATAGGAGAAAAAGGCTATACACAACCAACAAATTATGTGAAAAAGGCAATAAGTTGGAATAAAAAAAAAAGATATCTGGGGGTTGATTTGGGATATCAAATTGTCACCAGAGGACCACATGAGGACATTGTGCAAGGAGCCTCCGTTATGGTTTCCAACTTCAGAATCGCTTTTAAATACATGGATTGTTGAAATATTAAAAAAATTTCTACCTCTTTTTGTGACACCAAAATTGGAATATGTAGCAGTTGTATGGTGTCTGTATAATAAGTAGTATGTCAATAAACTGGAAAAGGTGTAAAGACATGTTATGAAATGGTTTCCAAAACTGAGAAACATACTATGAGGTGAGGCTAGAAGTTTAAGTATGGAAAAGCTAGAAGATAGAAGGAAAAGTGGCAATATGATCTCTCTGTGCAGCATATCAGGAAGTGACTAAGCCGACAAAGAGGAATCCTTGAAATCTGCAACTTAAAGAACAAGAGGATCATAGATTCAAGCTAAAGCAACTAAAGTTTAGAATTTTTTTTGGAACATTCTCTCATTGCAAACGGTGTGATTGGTAATTTTAACACATTAAGCAAGAAGGTGGTGGAGGATACCCAAATCAGTAGTTTCAAAACGTCTTGTGACGGAGTCCAGGGGAAAATGGTACACCACGAACGTACAACACCTGAGTAATCACAGGTGATGAATGTGAGCCCATCGTAGGCAAAGATTTACGGAATGGATTGAAATTTAATAGGCATGTAATCATGCCTATAAAGCTCTTGAAGCCTAGTGTCCTGTCTTGATACAAAATCTTAGTAGCCATAAAAATTTTCATAGGTAGCCAATGGGATGTGTACTGTACCGAGACCACTGCCCACTGTACTGTACCGAGACCACTGCCCACTGTACTGTACCGAGACCACTGCCCACTGTACTGTGCCGAGACCACTGCCCACTGTACTGTGCCGAGACCACTGCCCACTGTACTGTACCGAGACCACTGCCCACTGTACTGTACCGAGACCACTGCCCACTGTACTGTACCGAGACCACTGCCCACTGTACTGTAACGAGACATCTGCCCACTGTACTGTACCGAGACCACTGCCCACTGTACTGTGCCGAGACCACTGCCCACTGTACTGTACCGAGACCACTGCCCACTGTACTGTACCGAGACCACTGCCCACTGTACTGTACCGAGACCTCTGCCCACTGTACTGTACCGAGACCTCTGCCCACTGTACTGTACCGAGACCTCTGCCCACTGTACTGTACCGAGACCTCTGCCCACTGTACTGTACCGAGACCTCTGCCCACTGTACTGTACCGAGACCACTGCCCACTGTACTGTACCGAGACCACTGCCCACTGTACTGTACCGAGACCTCTGCTCACTGTACTGTACTGTGCCGAGACATCTGCCCACTGTACTGTACCGAGACATCTGCCCACTGTACTGTACCGAGACATCTGCCCACTGTACTGTACCGAGACATCTGCCCACTGTACTGTACCGAGACATCTGCCCACTGTACTGTACCGAGACATCTGCCCACTGTACTGTACCGAGACATCTGCCCACTGTACTGTACCGAGACATCTGCCCACTGTACTGTACCGAGACCACTGCCCACTGTACTGTACCGAGACCACTGCCCACTGTACTGTACCGAGACATCTGCCCACTGTACTGTACCGAGACCACTGCCCACTGTACTGTACCGAGACCTCTGCCCACTGTACTGTTCCGAGACCTCTGCCCACTGTACTGTACCGAGACCACTGCCCACTGTACTGTACCGAGACCACTGCCCACTGTACTGTACCGAGACCTCTGCCCACTGTGCTGTACCGAGACCTCTGCCCACTGTACTGTACCGAGACCTCTGCCCACTGTACTGTACCGAAACCTCTGCCCACTGTACTGTACCGAGACCTCTGCCCACTGTACTGTACCGAGACCTCTGCCTAGTGTATTGAATTGTGTGCGTGCGTGCGCGGGATAAATCTTGCAAGTGTTATTAATGTTGAGAGTATTATATGATATGCATATCAGGACATTATCTTAACATTAATCTTACATACAATTTGTAAAGTGTGAGCTATGTCTTGAAGATGCTGTGTTGACACCTTGTCAGTTGCATGTCTCAAGTTATTTTTTAGTTTACATACTGCATGGTATTTAAGTTATATTTTAATCTTGCGATCCATTGTAGACGTTGGATGATCGTCAAAGACCAAGCACAAGCAACGTGGAAGCCGCCACTGTGGAGAAACTGAACACTTTTTATAAGTAAATATATATTTTTATATTTTTACAGAGTTAATATAAAAACAAAGTTTAGAATGTGTATTTTTGTATACTGTGTATGAAAAATACTTTTCCCCTTAGGTCCTATTAAGAAGTACAGTACAAGCTATGCTGTGTTTAAAATATGATTAGTCTAAAATGACTAGTTTAACAATGTTTTCTTTTTATTCAGTATTAGTGTTAGATATTTTAGCAAAGGGGGGTTAGTAAAACAGTTAAATATGAACACAAGATGAGCCCATTTTATTGACAGACATAATTAAAACTGAATTTCATTTAAGATTTAGAAAATTATTCTCGTCAAATGATTGACTTTTTTCATATATACTGTATAAGATTTATCAAAGTGTCATATTTATATTAGCCTCGTGATTGGAAAATAACCCTGATTATTATATCTAAATCACTATCTGTAGTGATTTAGATATATTCTTATCTATCTATATCTCTACAGAATGTATACCTCTTCAAGGGTACTGCCTTGACGCGGTGAAGGTGTTCGTGCTCACCATCCTTGGCTCATGTTGCCTTGACGCGGTGAAGGTGTTCGTGCTCACCATCCTTGGCTCATGTTGCCTTGATGTGGTGAGGGTGTTCGTGCTCACCTTCCTTGGCTCATGTTGCCTTGACGCGGTGAAGGTGTTCGTGCTCACCATCTTTGGCTCATGTTGCCTTGACGCGGTGAAGGTGTTCGTGCTCACCATCTTTGGCTCATGTTGCCTTGATGTGGTGAGGGTGTTCGTGCTCACCATCCTTGGCTCATGTTGCCTTGACGCGGTGAAGGTGTTCGTGCTCACCATCCTTGGCTCATGTTGCCTTGATGTGGTGAGGGTGTTTGTGCTCACCATCCTTGGCTGGGAGGTTCCGGGAGGCCTGACTAAACTGGCTCATCTGGCTGGTGAGTCTGCTCTGACTTGGGTCAAGTGGGCATTGGGGAGTTGGTGTACGTATTGGCTCTCTGGGCTCCAAATTCAGAGCCATCAGCAATTACTCGCATATACTGTACAGTACTCTTCTTGTTACTCGCATATACTGTACAGTACTCTTCTTGTTACTCGCATATACTGTACAGTACTCTTCTTGTTACTCGCATATACTGTACAGTACTCTTCTTGTTACTCGCATATACTGTACAGTACTCTTCTTGTTACTTGCATATACTGTACAGTACTCTTCCTGTTACTCGCATATACTGTACAGTACTCTTCTTGTTACTCGCATATACTGTACAGTACTCTTCTTGTTACTCGCATATACTGTACAGTACTCTTCTCGTTACTTGCATATACTGTACAGTTCTCTTCTTGTTACTCGCATATACTGTACAGTACTCTTCCTGTTACTCGCATATACTGTACAGTACTCTTCTCGTTACTCGCATATACTGTACAGTACTCTTCTCGTTACTCGCATATTTGTATCCTCCCTTGTTGGGATCTGTGGTTTATGGGTGTGCAAGGAAGCCAAGTTCAATTTATTCTAGTACAATACCACCTCCTTGATACATGGCTCCTTCTTCTTGGGCTTGTGTGGTGGACAATCAGGTTCTTAAAGTTGCTTTGTGACCTAGAAGACTAGTTCCCCCTCTACTTGGGGAATGCTCAGCATCTCTGGCTGTGCTGGTCCCTAACCCTGCTCTATCCTAAGGTTTCCATTCCGATTCTCTCCCTGCCACTACTGTGTCCTTGGCAGACATGTCTCCCACGTCACCTGTGGTGACTAAAACCCCTAACTCATTTTTAACTATGGTATCTTAATGCAGTTTCCTTGCAACTGGTGGGGCTCTGCATGGTAATTGCAATCACCTTTGCTCTGCCTCCTTCCAGTGCTCCTTCAACAATTTGATTGGTCCACCTACATGGGCAAAGTATTTTAATCCTTTGTATTCTGATGGAGCTGCCGCCTCTGATGATTTTTCCACACATTGCCACCTCGCTCAGTTGGTCGATTAAAAGGTCACGTTCCGTCCCAACTGATCTGGGGCACACGTTGGTGAGGTTCCAGTTCTAGTCTTCAGAAATGTACATATGATTGACAGCAGTGACCTTGTCATCCTCCTATTCCATGTTGCAACAGAGACCAGGAAGTTTTGAGAATGTCATGGAGACATGAAGGTCATATTTGAGTTCCAGGGACATGCTATTATCCAAGTTGATTCGTTCACTTGACCCCCCTCTCACTGTCAACATTCATTACTTCTTTGGATTGTTAAAATCACATTCGACAGTTATGCCCACTTGTCTTCAATAATTCTTACTGGTGCAGTGTGTGACACAGAGTAATACATTCCCTCTGCACCTCTGCAATAACTGTTTTAAATATGGACATGGTGCTTTGATTTGTCATAGTGGTGTGTTCCTTTGCCTGTTGTGTGGTGTACTCTACTCTTCCCCTACACACATCATTAACTGTGGTGATGCTGACTCTTGCCTTCTCTTGGTCTTGTATGCATTATAAGTCCATACAAGCCATCCTCAACCATAAACATAAAGACTATGTATCCTTCCCTGAGGCGAGATGCCAGCTCAATTACCTTAGCCTCTTCTTCAGCGTGACTTGTGCTCATGTAGCACATGAGCACAAGTGGACCTTACGGTTCACTTTTATCTGTATCTACAGTTACAAAATTGTTTCCAGGTTCTGGGTTGTGATGTCTTTGCCTCCCGAGTCTGATAGAGTGAGCATTCCTCTCCGTTCTCCTTGCAGTGTTCCCTTGCTGTCTTCCTAGTCTTCTGTATGGCCTCCGTTTCTTTGACGGCAAGGGTCGTTGGTCAAGTCTTCTCTCTCGGGGCAAGCTTTCCCCTAGCTGTGTTGCAGGAGTTAACGTTCCTTTATTATGGTTAAGTTTCATAATGCCATAACCCTTTCTATCCTGTAGTTGTTGGACTCCAACACTGGCTGTTTCTCATTTTTAGTAAATTTAAGACAGTCAGATGTTGCTGGGTTACCCCTGCCATGTTGGTGTTACCTCTTATGAACTTATAGATAACTTACAGATATGAACTTACTCCTGAGGGGCCATTCATACTTGTCTCATTTGAGGTTGGGGATACTGTACCTGCTTTATGGGAGTTCTGGGAGTTGTTCTACTCCCTAAGCCCGGCCCGGCTTGACCAAGCTCTCACAAGTCAAGCCTCTCACAAGGCTTGACTTGTGAGAGCTTGGTCCAACAGTCTGTTTCTTGGAGCGGCCCGCAGGCTCACAGGATACGGCCGGGACAAGAACAGAGACCATATTACCCTACGGGTAGACAAAGGAGAGATCGGTCATACATTTCTGGTCAGAGAAGAAGCTGGGAGCAGCAAATGCAATGAATTGTGCAGTGTCTCATATTGCAAATATCAAACTTCCTGCTATTCACTGACCTCGCCCCATGGATTTTCTTCTGCCTCATAATAGAAAGTGGGAAATGGCTGTCGACTTTATTGTGTATTTGCCACACGCACATAACTCCTGATCATTTAATGGAACCCACGTCCTTCTTTTTATTTGAACTACATTGTTTCACTTTGTCGAGCACCTACTTGAGGAAAGTCCCGAGTCCTTACAACTGTGTAAGTCTTGCTACAACTGTGTAGCAAGACTTACACAGTTGTAAGTCTTGCTATCCTACTGTTTCTTTGGGGTCACACATCCCTCTCGAGTGATATATATGGTGCCTTTTCAATGTTTCGTGACACAGATTGTGCTACATAGTCTTCCTAGCCGAGTGTCGTCTTTTGATACTGTAATTACTAACATAATGGAACAACTCCATGTGCCTTGTCTGAACACATGTCCCACTTACCATTGTGCACCTCCTCTTGGAATGTCCTGATCTTAAGGATGATTGCAAGTCTTATTTTCCCAATGTCTCACTTTGGGTTAGTTGTACCAAATAAATCTGATACCTTTGACTTTGCCCCATCTTACATCTGTTTGCTTTAATATTGGCATCCCAAGTGATGTTTAGGACCTTTTGAATATTCCACAACACGACCGGTGCTAAATTTGTAGTCTTACCAGCTTGGTGCCATCTTTTGTTAATTGCTTGCTTGCAGAATACATAGTAGCTTGACTTACATTTATTTATGCTAGACTATGGTACTGTACAAAATTTATATTTACCCAATGAAGTTATATATATATTTTAAGATATCCAAACTTCAGCAGAAAAATTATCACGAATCCAGCATTTCTGGGGGGAGTCCTTTATGGCTCCCTGAAGCTACCATTTCCGATGTAGGTGCCATCAGTCGTGGAGTTCTAAGGTCTACCGGGAACAGAGAGCCAGAACCCGACCCCCCTCCTCACAGAGGTGCAAGGAACTGTGCCATTTATATATATTTTTGCCACCACCAAGGAAGGCACCCAGAAAGTCAACAAGTCAGAACAAACCACAGCTGGTTTCCTCCAAGACCTGCAGCCTCAAAAACGGGCCTAGAACTCCCCCATACTATGTAAACAAATCATCGACAATGTTATAAAACTAACGCTCTCTCATTCACTCCACCCTCCTCCACATTTGGGAGAAGGAGAAGCCAAGCTGCAGCTCGCAAGCCACTCTACTCTGTTGTTCTTTGATGTGTGGCCGGCGTTGGGTCTGCCACTGTTGCTCTGGCCCCCATTACTTCCCCCACCCATGTGTTGCTTGTGCACATGCGTGGTTTGGGGCAGGCGTTTAGTGCGCTTGGAGCTACAAGTGTTCAGGGATTCTCTTCCCTGATGCTGCCCTTGCACTGTCAGGGGTTTCTTCCCTGGAGTGTTTGGGGGGACGCTCATTTAGAGATCTATCTCGCTTGTGGGTGGCCTTTGCCTGGGGGGTGTCCAACTTCCTTGCCAACAGTTTGTCCCATCTCCACGAAGAGGATCATCCGATTGTGAAGCCCTCATGGTGGATGCCTTTTAGCAGGACTGATTGAGGTGGAGGTTTCTTTACCCTTTCCTTCTGGTCCAGATGTTGCTCCTGGGTCCTGGAACAATTGGAGACCTACAGGGGAGAGGATGATCTTTTTGGCTCCTTGGTGGCTGGCCCAGCCTTGGTTTCTGGCGCTGCTTGCATGGTGTCCGAACCTGGTCATTTTCCTGCCGCTGGTCTGCCTCTTCCACAGGGTCGGTCCAGTACTGGTTTGAGTTTCTCCTCCACTCTTCACGTCTGGATTTTCTAATGCAGGTATACCACCATCTTTCTAGCGATCATGTTGCTGTGTTGATGGTGCCCCACCTGAAGGCTTAAGATGGCAGTGTGAAGTTTCTTGTTGTTTAGGCGTTATTCTTCAGTTTCCGAGCAGGTGGTTCTTTCCTTTTTATCCTGGTTATTTCTTGATCGGCATCGTTTGCTGAATATTGTTGCTTCATATTATGCAGCATAAGCAGAGCCGCTGCAGCTTGTTTGGTGTCAATACTTCTACGGCTCAATTTTGCTGGATGTCTTGTGCATTGTTTCGCCTCTGGCCTGCTCATGTGCCACCAGAGCCTGCTTGTTTTATGGTGCTATTTTCTTTTGTTCGGTTTAGGGTTACCCCTTCAGGCCAGGATTGTTTCCTTAAGCTCCAAGCTCTCTTCTTGGATTCCCTGGCCTCCAGTTGCAGTGTTGGTGGCTTTATGCTCTTCTTCAGCACTGAGGTGTTTGTTCTTTTGGCTCTTGGGGGTCAGTGTGTTTGTCTCCAGGTGGCTCCTCTTTGGCAGAGAATTGAGTCGGTTGGCTTCCAGAGGGATTTGTTTGTTGCTGATGCTTGGTTGGTTCGGCCAGGGGTGTATCATGTTTTGTGTCCAGTAGCGGCTCTCCATCACTACCTTCATGTCACCGCTTCTGCTTCAGTGGATACCTTTACAGTTCATCCTGTTTCCTTGGTCCCCTATTCCAAAACTAATCTTTCTCGAGGTCATCCAGTGTCATTAAATCTAGCTAGCCTGCAGTCTTCCCTCGTGTGCATGTCCGGAAGTAGTGTATGAGTGTGTTTTTTGCTAATATGTCTTGGGAAGGTACTTGGGCACTGGCTTCTGGAGGTTGAACAGGGTTAGGGGGGCTCTCCAAACTCTCACAAGTCAAGCCTGGCCTCGGTCCAGGCTTGGGGAGTAGAAGAACTCCCAGAATCTCATCAAGCAGGGCCTGGTATCTGATCAATGTTTCTGGGCTTCGGTGCTCTTGTGTGGCTTTCGGTCGGTTTTCACAGCCGACAGTCTCTTCGTTCTGACTCCTGCGGTGATCCTTCCTACCTGGTGAACACCTTTTTTTCTTTTCCATAGCTTCAGGGAGCCACAAGGTGCTTTTCTCTCAAAAACCAGCATTGAATGTAATAAAACTCCAATTTCTAGGTGAGCCCCAGTGACTCCCACATGGAGTCAGGTCTATTTACATCATTCGTCGACTTGATGGTAGATTGGCTTGCAAACCACAGCCTACCCCCTCCTTTTCCCCAAACAAGAGGGTAAGGGGAGAGAAAAGCTCCACCCACCTTATGAAAAGCTTATGACGGTATTAATTGTGTGTTTAAAATGTTTGGAGAGTTATAAGTACTGTCTCCACTCGATTATCCGGACTATATGGGAAGGACCCCCAGCCGGATAATCACATGTTCCGGATAATGGTACTTTTTCACCTCCGAGTCCAAAAGTAGCCATTTCCAACTATTTTTATACTACAAACAACATAATTTGAATTGCCTTGCCACATATAATTATTAAATATTCAACTAGAAACCTCAACTTACCTTGTTGTTGTTCATCTTCTTGATTGATGCCACACATCTTGAAATTTAGAATTCTTGACAATTTACGTAACCTATACTAACAAAGCACTAAAATTAACACTTAAAATTACTGTACAGTTCATTAAGCAAAGTTAGTTTTGACTGCCAGCTGCTGAAACCTCACTGGTTGAAGGCGCTTGGCTTGCCTGTGGCGCCTCACTGGTTGAAGGCGCTTGGCTTGCCTGTGGCGCCTCACTGGTTGAAGGCACTGGGCTTGCCTGTGATGGTAGTCAGATGAAGACCAGGCTTCATCTGACTACCCTTGTTGACTTTCTCCGTTCCCCTCCCACTTCCACCGCTGGGTTGACCCCTCAAGCCCCCAGTGATGACTGCCTCATTCACTGGTGCAACTCCATCATCCATTGTGACAACTGCTTCATTGATCATCCGCCTCCCCTCCTTCGTGGGGGTTCCCAGCACCATCACCTCGCTTGCACTCATTTGTTTCCTTTATTACTGCATTTTGCAATTTGTTTAGCCCGCTACATAGCCTAAATATTTTGATCTTTGTCACGAAAAACATATGCACCCTAATGATGTGCACATCCATAAGGACTTAGTTTACTATGGAGCTACATAGCCTAAATATTTTGATCTTTGTCACGAAAAACATATGCACCCTAATGATGTGCACATCCATAAGGACTTAGTTTACTATGTGGATTGCCAGGTTACTTTTAACCCCCACCTGGATTGGCATACAGGTAGTTGTGGCCCCTTCTCAGGAGACTAGCATGCGCCTAGTTCCTCCGTACTGCATTGGTGAGACCCCGGTTTGGGTGTCCAAAAGTACCCTGATGAATACCAGCATTGGCACTCTCGTTATCCCACACCATGTTGCAACTGCAGCTAGGGACCTCAAAGCCTGCCATGAGGATATTATATACACCCTCGAGGCTCGGGAATTTCTGTCCTGCAAATTGACTCCTTCACTCATCCCTGTCTTTGTGGTTATTGTCACCAAACCCTTCATATTGTTAAGATCACTTTAGATGGTAGGCTCCTGTTTTCTGCCTGTTGAATACCCAGCGACACTGATGGTGCTGCATAGTCATCCTGGCTTGGTGCCTTATTTTGATAAATATTTAGTATGTTTAATCCATGTAAACCTCTGGTTATTTAGCATGTGCAATCCATATGAACCCATGGTTACAGTATTTAGTATGTGCAATCCATATGAACCCATGGTTACAGTATTTAGTATGTGCAATCCATATCAACCTATGGTTATTTAATATGTGCAATCCATATGAAGCTATGGGTATTTAGTATGTACAATCCATATGAACTTGAGTTACCAGATATGAGAGATGCCTATTTTGTGGTAATTGGTTATTTAATATTTTGTTTTGATATGTTTAATGTGAAGCTATTATTTGTTACTAGTTTATATTTATAGGTAGAATAAGGTATAATTTGTTGTCCTATAAGCTTATTAACATTTTATATAAAAACTTTGTTGACATTTCTCGCATAAAAGGTCACCGTCCACTGTTCTCTTGTTTAGCATTCAATGTTCATACATTTAATGAAATGTAGTTCATTAAAGCTTTTTAATTTATCTTTTTGTCTTTCTCATACTTTTTGGTTATTAGAGGAATTGGGGAAGCAAGCAAGCAAGAAAATGAAATCACAGGCGAGTAAATCATTTATAATGTTTCAGAAAGCACTTGAATACCAAGTTACTGTACTAGTCGATAAGCTGTCAATAGTCGCCAAGAGATAAGGTCAATATTACCTGTGCAAATCCTTGCTAGTTTATTGCACTCTGGCTCTATACTCGCACCTATACCCCTGAGCACCTTGAAGTGGTTAGTACCTTAGTTCAGGGGGGGGGGGGACTAGCTTTGATTGACGAGGTATGATTTACTCATTTTTTACTTGATGGAATAAGCCTCCTCTTTACTCTGTGCCCTGCATTGTTCCACCAACAGTTGTGCAACTTGTAGAATTCCTCCATTGCAACTACTTTATTGGGATGGTAGAGCTTGAGTA